AGTGTCTGTCAGATTAAATCTCACTCTGGATTAAGTTACACCATCAGCGCTAATTCACTGAAAATCCTTTGAGCATTAATGTGTGTTTATCAGCTCATAACGATGCTCAGTCTGTGTTAATGAAGAGCTCGTTCAGCTAACGATCACCGGCGGCTCAGAGTTCCTGCTCACACTTTACATAGGAATCATTTGCATTGGACTGCGTATCTGCTAGAAATGCAAAACAGAGTGAAAACTTCACATACTGACATCTCACAGAAACACTGTACGGCCCTATGAAATCTCTTTGATTTAGAGATCGACCGATAATCGGTTTTACCGATATTTTTCCTGACATTTAAGTATCTTTCCATTATTGGATATCGGTTTTGTAATATCATATTCACCGATATTGAGAATTGCGTGCGAGGCTGCCATTACGGCACAACTTTACTGGGTTTACTGATTAAATTGGTTGTATTTTCTGTGATATACCTTAAAATGAATGTTTTAAACTGTATAATTATTACTTTGAGAAGTACATTCCACTGTACAACAGTAATGTATTTCAGTCATAATTTCTTCAAGTTAAACCAGTCTTTTATTTTGGCGGGTTTTAGTGAAGATATTTGAGTTTCAGTGTGTATCTGATGATTGCTTTCTCAAATGAAATGGTGAAATCACATTTTTGTGCCTGAATTCCATGATTCTGTCTGCGTTTTCCACATCACACAAATCATAGAGCCCTAATATTGAGTAGAAAAGTCCATTTGAATTCAATTTATTTGTTGCTTTATTAGCATGAAGTACTTGTGTTCATATTTCCTCTGACTCTCTGATCTTCATCATTCTCCTCATGTTGTGTTTCAGAAGCCGCCAACTGCTGATTAACTGTTATTGACTCGCCAAAGCCAGCTTTTATTGCATCGCATGTGATGATGTGAGGCATCTTAGAATTTAACATAAGCGACATAATTTTGCATAATATTAAGGGCTTAGTAGGTTGTGGAACGGAGTTATTAATTTCTCAGTGAAGATGATGATGAATCAGCGATGGTGGGTGGAGATGATGATGATGATGACACCTACAGGAGATGCAGCATATGTAATCTATATAATTAGATTTGATCTCTCCATCACTCC